ATTTGCGCCGCACGGTGCGAGCCTCGCTGTCTCCCCTCAGTGCCCACCACAGGGCGTCCTCCGCTTGAGCGGAAGGGTCCATGTCCGCTTTCGAGAATGACCGCAGAAGCAGCGCGGCGCGGCGGAGCGCGCGCATATTGAGCTTGGCGGCCAAACGCTATCGGCGCATTCGACACGACAAACTCGAGCAGCCAGCGACGCCGACGGTTACAAACGTGCGAAGCAATAAAATAAAACGGACATCTACTAGGAGATGGGTAAAAAGGCAGGTCCCCGCCCTGCGATCTTTGTGCAGGGTTCTTTGTGGGTGTGGTCGGCGACTAGCCGGGGTCGTCCTCCCGATGGGGGACTAGCACTACCACTAGCCGTCTTCCACATGGTCCCTCGGGTCCCTGCTGCTCCAATCTCTTCGTACATCCTCCTGCTGATCTCCGCAAAGTCCTGCTCCCTCCCTCGTCTCGCCCTGCGCGTCTGCTCCGCCTCCCCGTCGTCTGCCCTGCGTCGTCTGGCGACTGCGAAGCAAAAAATCTCTCCGTGTTAGCAAATTCTTCCAAGAGAGCTCTCTTGGTAGAAGCTCGTAGAACGGGTACGAGATGTATGGGAGTATTCGCAAAGAGGAGCCCCGCCCCCGCACGACTCCGCAGGGGTTAGCAAAATCTTTCACGACCAAACCGCAAAAAAACTGGATGCCTTTGCGCTTTCCGGAAAGCGCAACCACAAGCCACAACAGTCAACACTGGGCACGGGAGCACGGGACTCGTGGCGCGTCGCGATCTCACACCGACAGGTCAGGAACAGGTAGAGGTACCACACAGGGAACGAGCACACCCTAAGGCACACCGTTGTTTGAGCCCCCAAGGAAATCGACGGCTTCAAATACATAATGGGGCGATTCTCAATACACGGGGGGGTCGCCGATCCGACCGCCTTTAGAGCTCGGCGCACAGCTCCGCAAAAGACGGGCGGGCCTCGAGCGACTCGGCTGTGCACGCAGCCGCCGCGTGTCGGAGCGCCGCCGCCGCCGCCGCCGCCTCGCCGCCGCCAAAGGTTCCGTCGTGCGAGACCTGCAGGTGCGAGAGGAGGTCGAGCAGCAGCAGGCCGAACGAGCGCACCTCGAGCTTCTCGACGGCGGTGTGGCCGTGCCGGTCGTACGCGCACGCGGCGCCGAGGTCCGACAGCTTCACGACCTGCAGACAGAAGAGAGAGGTGAAAGCACGGTCAGACCACGACTGGACGCCGAGGCACGCGGCCGAACAACGGCCGACGTCGACAGGCCATGTCTCGGCTAGATGTCGGCTAGATATCCACGGGCCCGTACAGCTGGGACGCGCCCGAGGTGCGCCCCTCTCGATTGCCGCCCCGCCCCCACCACCAAGCCACACAGACCCATGTTGGCCACGATCTGCCAGTCGGTCGGCTGGATCTCGGCTACCTCTCGGCGCGGTGTGGGGGGGCCTCCGTCTCCGCGACGCGAAGCGTGTTGTGCAAGTAGATATCGCAGTGCGCGAGTCCGCGCGCGTGCAGCCACGCCCCAGCGCGAGCGACGGCACGCGCAACTTCTCTCGCCTGCAAGGCACGGCCGCGGGGCCGTCGTGGACACACATGGCACGTGTCGTGTCGCGGACACTGCGCCGCGCAGACGAGGGCCCAAGGACGCCTCGCGCCTGTGCCGGTGTGAGGCGGGCGTGCTTCCCCTCGACGAACGCGTCGCGCGTCACCGACGCGAAGGACGGCGGGCCGCCCACCGCAGAGGCGCCTGGGGACATGCATGTCATTGGACGTGCGGCGGGCCGCCCACCGCCGAGGCTGGGGGAGTGGGGGCGAGAGTGTTGCGGGAGCGCCTACTGGTGCTCCGCACCCGCAACTCTCTCGGGCCATCTCTCGGGCCATCTCTCGGGCCATCTCGGGCCATCTCGGCTGATCTCGGCTCTGCCTTCGAGCAGCTCGACCGCCATGCCGAGCGACGGCGTCTCCCACGCCGCGAGCGTGCGGACGAGGCTGGCGCAGCCGCCGGTCAGTCGCCCCATGAGCCACTCGCCGCGCGCGTCGCCGTCCGAAAACAGCTCCGCCGACCACAGCTTGCAGGCGACCTTCAAAAAAAGGTGGGAGGGGTGCGGGCGGCGGTGTGGTGAGAGACCTGCCCGCCCCAGCTTGCAGGCGACCGGCGTACCCTGCCACGTCCCGCGCTTGACCACCGCGCCCGAGCCGCGGCCCAGCTCCTCCTCCCCCACAGCCACCTGCGACGTAGACTCGGGAGGTGTGACAGTCCCGCCGGTAGGTGTGTCCTGTCCTGTGTGTCTGTGTGTCGCTCCAGTGTGGCCGTCTCTCCGCCTCGCCTAGCGTCCACCCCCATACCGCCTGCTGCCCAGCCGTGGCTGACAGTGCTTCGCCGCTCTGCCTCTCGATCTGATCTACCTCTCTGCCCGCCTCCGAGGCGTCCTTCAGAGTCGCCACCGCGTCGGCGGCTGCGTCGGCGGCGGAGAGGGCGGCAGCGCACAGGCGGGCAGAGTACGGGTTGCCTCCGAACGCGAACCATGCCAGCCGCGGGTGGCGAAAGGCGGCGGCGGGGAGGGTCTCCATGCGGTTGCAGGCGAGGCGCAGCATCTCGAGCGCAGGGATCGCCTCAATGAGTAAGTCGGCCGACACCGCGTCGAGGAGGTTGTGCGAGAGCATGAGCTTGCGCACGTGGCTCAGTCGGTGCGGAGCCCGCACCTCGGCGATCGCATTCTGCGCACAGATGAGCCAGCCCAGCTTTGGGGGGAGCGCCTCGCCGTCGAGCACGGCCAGCCCGTTCTCTTTGAGCGAGAGCATGAAGAGCGAGTCGGCTCGCGAGAGTGGGCCGCCGGCCGGCAGACCCCGGCCGCCGAGCGCGCAACCCGTCGCGAAGAGGACGCGCAGCCGCCCTAGCGTCTGCACGCCGTCGAGCGATTCGAGAGGGTTGCCTCCCACATCGAGCTGCTCCAGGCATGTCGCGCACAGGCCGATGCTGGCGGGAAGGCGCTTGAGGCCAGCCTTGCGGAGGTCGAGCCTGCAGATTGCAGCCAGCCGCGAGGCGGTGGGCTCGAGCCGCAGGAGGAGAGAGGCGGGCTCCTCCTCCTCTTCCTCTTCGCGCGCCGCTGACATCGTCAGATTGCGGTGCTGCAGATTGCGCTAGAGGACCTCAGATCAGAGTCGGCTTTGCGAGAAAAAAAAAGGCGGCGCGAACCGTGTTTACTTTACGGCCCGCCACACACACACACACACACACACACACACACACACACACACACACACACACACACACACACACACACACACACACACACACACACACACACACACACACACACACACACACACACATGCACACACACATGCACACACACATGCACACACACATGCACACACACACACATACATACATGCACACACACACACACACAGCCCCTTCCCCTTCCCCCTCAAGAGACAAGACCGCAAGCAAGGGCGAGGACACGCGTAGGCCGCGCACCTCTAGCGAAGCCCATGTGTGCGCTGTCGCGTTTTGGGGTTGGTCCTGCAACGGTGTCTCGTGCGGAGCAGTGGTGTGCTGCCGCGCGAGGGTTGCAGGCGTGAGGGTCGAGGGTACCTTTTCCCCCCTTTGCTATTAACAATGCTTTGGAATCTATGAACATGACCTCGAGTGGAGCCCCAGTCCTCGACAGGCTCATCGCCAGTGGAATAGGGAGTCCACCGTGCTGCGAACCTGTCGCTGTCCCTTTTGGCAGTAGCACAGGAGAACTAGGAGAGCGCAACCAGTAGGAGGCCCGCGCCTGCCCCCGTGCCGCCGGGTGCAACTTTGTCCTACACGAGAGGGGAATCCCTGGGACCCTGCTGAGCCCTGGCCTCGACACCTCGACACCAAACCTCGACACCAACTCCGTGGCCGTCCCCGTGCGGGCGGCTCCGGTGGCCGCCGCGCCGGCCGCCCCGCGGGCCACCGCACCGCACCGCACCGCACCGCGGGCCACCGCACCGCCACACCGTCCTCAATGGGCATCGCCGTGCCGGCGGGTGCCCCTCCGGTGGGTGCCGCGCCCGCTCCGGTGGTCGCCTCGCCGGTGGTCGCCTCGAGCGGGTTGGCCGGCTGCGCCTGGCGTTCGAGATCTTGCCTCGAGCGACGGCTATGTTGATTCAGTCTGAGCGACGGCTATGTTGATTCGCGCGACATTGAGGCGCTCCGCAACCAGAAGGGTGTCGGCGGCGAGTGGAGTGTGGAGCAGCTGCAGCAGCTCTCTCTGCGACACGGGCGCCTGTTCCTACCTCATGGCGCTGCGGGCTCGGCGGCAGTAGAGGGAGGGCCGAGGGACCATACCCCGCGACCATACCATACCCCGGAAAAGTTGGAACCCAGCGGGCAGACCTCTGCGCACCGTGGGTAATGTCCCCAGCGGCCCCCCGGGCCCGTGGTGGCGGCCGCGTATCGTCCCGGGGCGCCGCCGCGGCCCGCGAGATGTCCGCACACAACCGCCGCGGCGACTGGGCGGCGGCGTTGCAGATCTTTGCCACTGCCACTGCTGCCCTGGGCAACCGCACCCACAACGCCGCCGTATACGTCGAGGCGATCCGGGCGCACGGTGCACTGGGTAGGCCGGCGCGGGCGCTCGACACCTTCCAGACGCTGCAGGCCTCCTCGCTGCCGCCCAGCCTGATCGGCTACACGGCGGCGATCCGGGCGTGCGCGACGGCGACGCACTGGCCGGTGGCTCTCTCGCTGCTGCAGGACGCGCGCGACGAGGGCATCGAGCCCGACACCGTCGCGCTGAACGCGGCGCTCGCGGCGTGCGAGCGCGGCGGCCAGTCGGACGAGGCCCTCCTCCTGCTGTCCGAGATGGAGGCCTCGCCCAGCGCGCCGCCCGACCGAATCAGCTACAACACCGCCATCGCCGCCTGCTCGCGCTGCGGCGAGTGGCGGACGGCGCTGCGGCTGCTCGGCGAGATGGCGGAGCGGGTGCCGCCGGCGCCGCGCACTTCTCCCCGCCTCTCTTCTTCCCGCCGCCGCACCTGCCTCGCCGCTAGCTAGGTGCCTCCGCCGCGCAACACGCCGGACGCACACAGCTACGGAGCGGCTCTCTCCGCGTGCGAGAGAGGCGGGGAGGGGGGAGGAGGCGGTGTGGCTCCTCGAGACTCGCCCGAGGTGACCCGAGATCGCCCCGAGATTAGGAGGGCAGCCGGATGAGGCGCTGAGGCTGCTCGAGCGGATGCGGTCGGAGGGGCTGCGGCCAGGCCTCGCGCGCTCCATCTCTCGGCTGCATCTCGGCTGCGTCTCGGCTGTGTCTCGGCTGGCTCTCGGCTGTATCTCGGCCCTATCCCGGCTGTGCCTCGGCCAGGCCTCGTGCACTACCACGCGGTGATGCGTGCGTGCGCGACGCCAGCGCACTGGCCGATCGCCGCGTCGATGCTGCAGGACGATCTCCCCATCTCTCTCTCCCCATCTCTCTCTCTCTCTCTCTCTCTCTCTCTCCCTCTCTCTCTCTCTCTCTCTCTCTCTCTCTCTCTCTCTCCCTCCCTCCCTCTCTCTCTCTCTCTCTCCCTCCCTCCCTCCCTCTCTCTCTCTCTCTCTCTCTCTCTCTCTCCCCCCCTCTCTCTCTCCCTCTCTCTCTCTCCCTCTCTTTCTCTCTCTCTCTCTCCCTCCTTCTCCCTCTCTCCCTCTCTTTCTCTCGCCGCCTCCTGCTACCTCCTCCCTCTCCCTCCCCTGACGACCCCCGCCAAGCTCGCTCCTGCAGGACGCGCGCGACGAGGGCCTGTCACCAAACACCGTCTCGACCAACTGCGCCCTCGCCGCCTGCGAGGCTGGCGGCGCGTGGCGCGACGCACTCGCCCTCCTCGACGAGGCCGCAGCACCAGACGCAATCTCCTTTCACACCGCTATCGCCGCCTGCCGCCGCGCGGGTGGTCGACCCGCCGCACGCGCGGCACTCCGACTGCTGAGCCGGATGCGAGCAGCGCACGTGCGCCCGTCGCTCCTCGCGCACCACCGTGGCTGCCTCCTCCCCCCTTCCCCCAAGCTCCGCCCGTTCACAGGTGCGCCCCTCCCTCATCGGCTACACGACCGTGATGAACGCGCTGAGCGCCGCCGGCTACGTCCGCCCGGCGCTGCTCGTGTTCCGCGCCCTCTGCGCCGACCATGACCCCGACGAGCGGGCGGTGCACACGGCCCTCCGCGCCTGCGACGGTGCCGGCCGCCGGGCGGACGGGCTGGCGCTGCTTGCAGAGCTGGCAGAGTCGGGCGCCGCGGGGGAGAAGCTCGCGAGGCGCTTCCGCCCGCTGTGGGACGCCAAGGCGGCGGCGGCGCACAAGGCCCCGGCAGCCGCCGCCGCGGTGGCTGGAGGCAGCGGCAGGGGTCGGGGCCGCACGCGTGGTGGCAGTGGGCGCGGCAGCGCCGCCCCGCCGCAGTGGAGGAGGCGGAGCCGACGGAGTCGGAAAGGGCCGCCGCCGGAGCACGAGGCTGCGCGGGGCGAGTAGCTGTAGCCGCATCTGTGGAAGGTGCCGTTGGTCTTCAGCAGACACACTCTAGAGGGGCGCGGCGGTGTGCGACCGGTTCGTGTGCGGCCGCGGGCGGCGGCGGGTGAGAGGTGAGTTGAGCCGTGTGAACCCGAGCTGCACGATGCTCAAGTGTCTGTTTCTGTCTAGCTCTCAACGGGCCAGGCGCGAGAGCACACAGGGCTCAGGGGGAGGCGCGCAGACTCTCTGTGGTCTCTCTCACTCACTCTGCCCCACTGCGCGAAAAAGTTTCTCATGTCTATCCTTCTGGATGCGCTGGCCGGGCGCGACTACCTCTCTCTCGCGTTACTCTCGACATGGCCGCCCGCGGACGCCACATGCCGGGCGCCGCCGTCTCGCCGCGTCGTGGCCGGCCCCTCGTCTTCTCACCTGTGAGCTGTGTCGTGCACGTGGCGTGGGGGGAACGGTTTCGGTCGCCCTTCTCGTCGCTTTATGCGTGAATCGGGTCGCCGGGGTCGAGCCCCAACATTGCTGTTCCCACGTTGAGTCATTGACGTGTTCTGCATGCAGCAGTCAAGCGACAGACTGAGGACAGAGAGCCAGCCGTCTCAGACCTGCAACTCATCAGGGGACGTAGCCTGCCGTGGGGACGAACTTTTTTATGCTTCAGGAGAACTTCACCACGGCGTCAAGCTTTTCTCCAGATCTGCTTCCGCCTTCTCCCCCTTCTTACCCACACGTTTTGGCGGCGGCTCCCGCAGAGGGGTATAACGACGCCCAGAGAGAGTTGCCGAAGCTTCCAGGTGAGGTTTGGGTGAGCGTCGTGTCGCGGGTGGACGATCCGCCACCGCACAGCTCCGACAGCCATTTGCACAGTGCTGCTGGCTCAGCCTGATCGGAAGCCCCATGATTCTGCGCGCGCATCTGGTTCAGGTATTCTTTGCTTGGCGGCGCCGAGCTGGGCCGCTTGACCGCAGGCATGGGTGTGAGAGCGCGGACTCGGTGCCTGCAACCCGGCGTGGGCCGAATATTGCGAACGAAAGGGGGCGCGCTCGCTTGCGCGGGGCGACCGAAAATAGCCGAAACACAAAGGGCCGCCCGGCAGATTATATTTCTTAGCGCCGGCAGCTCGAAGCCGCGCTCTCGCGCCCACAAGCGAATGCCCTCCCGTGCGAGCGAGGCGTGGAAGAGCAGCGAGACGGCCGCGACACGAGCGTTGTCGGCGGGGTCGCAGCGAGAGAGGGCGTGTTAGACCTATAAGCGTAAAGATAGGTCGGCGCTTCGTTCGACCAACTAGGCCACCGGCTCATCCAGGTCCTGAGGTGACTGGGGCGGGCAGGAGGGTGCGCCCTCCGAGAGGAGCTCCTGTTTTGTTAGACCTAAAGGGCGGCGCTTCGACCAACTATAGGCCACCTTTTGCGCGCAAAAGGTGGCCTATAGAGGATACTAATTACTATAGTTGGTCGAAGCGCCGACCTTTAGGTCTAACACGTAACAGGGCGCGCCGCGAGCGAGGAGCTCCGTGGAGAGGTCGAGGAGGCGGGCGGGCGCGGGGGCGGCGGCGTGTTCGGCGAGGCGAGCGGCGGTGGTGGAGGCGGCGAGGCGGCGCGGCGGCGAAGACAATGCACATTGGCCTCGAGAGAAGATCGCCTGAGGGAGCA